TATGCTGGGCTTTGTTAAGAGGCACGTGAACCAGTTCAAAAGTCCATACTCGAGCCTCAGCGTCTATGCTGCATTCATTCGGTCGAGGCTGGAATACGCCTCAATCATTTGGAATCCGGAGTGTAAAGTTCGTTCCAACCGAATTGAGCGACTCCAGAAAAAATTTTTAAAATTTGCACTTCTGCCTCTAAGGTTTCAGGATCCTGTTCCTTCATACCAGAGCCGTTGCCTTCTTTTGAACGTTTGCACGTTGGAGGATCGTCGTAAACTGGCAGCGTTAACTTTTTTAAATAATTTAATTGCTGATAACATTGATTGTCCTTTTTTGTTGGGACTCGTTAATTTTAATGTTCCTCAAAGGGATCTTCGTACCCTTGCCCCCTTTCGGGTCAAGTGTCATAGGGCCAATTATCTTTTAAATGAGCCGATAGAGCGGGCTCTTTCTTATTTTAATTCTTTGCCGCCTAGCCTCCGAATTGAGTGGGGCTCTGATAAGGGTGTGTTAAAACGAAAGGTCATACGGCATTTATTAAGTTTTTCTTAATTTTGTAGTTTTATTTATTAGGTGTAAGTTGTTATTATGTAGCCATGTAAGGATTTGTCCGTTGGCGAAATGGAACTTGGAGCCGAAGGTTCCTTGGAGTGATCATGAAACTCTTCTTAGCATTGAGCCTTTTCTTAATGTGAGTAACATGGACATTTTGGACGGTGACCTAGTTGAAGCCACTGGACATTTGACCGAGTCGCTCACACCTGACGTGGACGGTATCTCCCCATTCGTTCTTAAGAGGAGTATCGCTTCTCTTTCTACTCCCCTTCAGCAGCTGTTCTCCTTTTCGCTCTCATCTGGTAGATTCCCCCACCGGTGGAAGATGACTTCTATAACGCCTATTCACAAAGGTAGCAGTAGGTGTGATGTTACCAATTATCGACCTATTGCCAAAATTTGCAATGTCGCTAAGATACTGTAGCGGATAGTAACTAAAAAATTGACTTTTCAGCCAGCATGGTTTTCTGCCTGGGAGGTCCACTACCACTAATTTTGCTGTCTTTTCTAAGCACTGCTTTGAAGCTTTTGAAAACCGATTTCAGGTTGATGCCATTTACACCGACTTCTCCAAAGCCTTCGACAAAGTGTGTCATGCTGCCCTTCTGGCCAAATTATATAAATTAGGTATTCATTCCTGCCTATTAAGTTGGTTCGAGTCTTATCTGGCTGACCGACCTTGCCACGTTACTGTTGGAGATGCTATCTCAAGTCCATTTGTCACCTCCTCTGGTCTTCCACAAGGCAGCTCTCTTGGACCTCTTCTATTTATCATTTTCATTAATGACATCTCGTCATGCTTTCGTCATTCGCACTTTTTAATGTATGCGGATGACCTTAAAATCTATAAAGAGATTAGCTGCATTAGTGACAGTTACTTGTTACAGGAGGATATATCCAGAGTTTACTCATGGTGCTCCCGCAATCTTCTTCCATTAAACTTATCTAAGTGTATGTTTACCCGTTACAGTAGGCGGTCTCTTGAAATCTGTACGGGTTATTCCATCAATAATTATAATTTGGCAGCTAAAGAAGAGGTGTTAGACCTTGGTGTCTTATTCGACAGCAAATTTAAATTTTCTGGTCACTTAGACTATATTTTACCTAAAGCGTATGCTATGCTGGGCTTTGTTAAGAGGCACGTGAACCAGTTCAAAAGTCCATACTCGAGCCTCAGCGTCTATGCTGCATTCATTCGGTCGAGGCTGGAATACGCCTCAATCATTTGGAATCCGGAGTGTAAAGTTCGTTCCAACCGAATTGAGCGACTCCAGAAAAAATTTTTAAAATTTGCACTTCTGCCTCTAAGGTTTCAGGATCCTGTTCCTTCATACCAGAGCCGTTGCCTTCTTTTGAACGTTTGCACGTTGGAGGATCGGCGTAAACTGGCAGCGTTAACTTTTTTAAATAATTTAATTGCTGATAACATTGATTGTCCTTTTTTGTTGGGACTCGTTAATTTTAATGTTCCTCAAAGGGATCTTCGTACCCTTGCCCCCTTTCGGGTCAAGTGTCATAGGGCCAATTATCTTTTAAATGAGCCGATAGAGCGGGCTCTTTCTTATTTTAATTCTTTGCCGCCTAGCCTCCGAATTGAGTGGGGCTCTGATAAGGGTGTGTTAAAACGAAAGGTCATACGGCATTTATTAAGTTTTTCTTAATTTTGTAGTTTTATTTATTAGGTGTAAGTTGTTATTATGTAGCCATGTAAGGATTTGTCCGTTGGCGAAATGGAACTTGGAGCCGAAGGTTCCTTGGAGTGATCATGAAACTCTTCTTAGCATTGAGCCTTTTCTTAATGTGAGTAACATGGACATTTTGGACGGTGACCTAGTTGAAGCCACTGGACATTTGACCGAGTCGCTCACACCTGACGTGGACGGTATCTCCCCATTCGTTCTTAAGAGGAGTATCGCTTCTCTTTCTACTCCCCTTCAGCAGCTGTTCTCCTTTTCGCTCTCATCTGGTAGATTCCCCCACCGGTGGAAGATGACTTCTATAACGCCTATTCACAAAGGTAGCAGTAGGTGTGATGTTACCAATTATCGACCTATTGCCAAAATTTGCAATGTCGCTAAGATACTGTAGCGGATAGTAACTAAAAAATTGACTTTTCAGCCAGCATGGTTTTCTGCCTGGGAGATCCACTACCACTAATTTTGCTGTCTTTTCTAAGCACTGCTTTGAAGCTTTTGAAAACCGATTTCAGGTTGATGCCATTTACACCGACTTCTCCAAAGCCTTCGACAAAGTGTGTCATGCTGCCCTTCTGGCCAAATTATATAAATTAGGTATTCATTCCTGCCTATTAAGTTGGTTCGAGTCTTATCTGGCTGACCGACCTTGCCACGTTACTGTTGGAGATGCTATCTCAAGTCCATTTGTCACCTCCTCTGGTCTTCCACAAGGCAGCTCTCTTGGACCTCTTCTATTTATCATTTTCATTAATGACATCTCGTCATGCTTTCGTCATTCCCACTTTTTAATGTATGCGGATGACCTTAAAATCTATAAAGAGATTAGCTGCATTAGTGACAGTTACTTGTTACAGGAGGATATATCCAGAGTTTACTCATGGTGCTCCCGCAATCTTCTTCCATTAAACTTATCTAAGTGTATGTTTACCCGTTACAGTAGGCGGTCTCTTGAAATCTGTACGGGTTATTCCATCAATAATTATAATTTGGCAGCTAAAGAAGAGGTGTTAGACCTTGGTGTCTTATTCGACAGCAAATTTAAATTTTCTGGTCACTTAGACTATATTTTACCTAAAGCGTATGCTATGCTGGGCTTTGTTAAGAGGCACGTGAACCAGTTCAAAAGTCCATACTCGAGCCTCAGCGTCTATGCTGCATTCATTCGGTCGAGGCTGGAATACGCCTCAATCATTTGGAATCCGGAGTGTAAAGTTCGTTCCAACCGAATTGAGCGACTCCAGAAAAAATTTTTAAAATTTGCACTTCTGCCTCTAAGGTTTCAGGATCCTGTTCCTTCATACCAGAGCCGTTGCCTTCTTTTGAACGTTTGCACGTTGGAGGATCGTCGTAAACTGGCAGCGTTAACTTTTTTAAATAATTTAATTGCTGATAACATTGATTGTCCTTTTTTGTTGGGACTCGTTAATTTTAATGTTCCTCAAAGGGATCTTCGTACCCTTGCCCCCTTTCGGGTCAAGTGTCATAGGGCCAATTATCTTTTAAATGAGCCGATAGAGCGGGCTCTTTCTTATTTTAATTCTTTGCCGCCTAGCCTCCGAATTGAGTGGGGCTCTGATAAGGGTGTGTTAAAACGAAAGGTCATACGGCATTTATTAAGTTTTTGTTAATTTTGTAGTTTTATTTATTAGGTGTAAGTTGTTATTATGTAGCCATGTAAGGATTTGTCCGTTGGCGAAATAAATAAATAAATAAGTAGGTCGGATTAACTGACCAAAAATATAATCTATACTAAGTTCCAGCTTTCTGTCTATAAAAACATGAAACTTGGGTCATTTCCGATCGTTCAGTTGTATGGCAGCTATAGGATATAGTCGGCCGATCCCGGTCTTTCCGACTTATATACTGCGTGTAAAGGAACGAAGGGTGTGTGCAAAGTTTCAAGTCGATATCTTTAAAACTGAGAGACTAGTTTGCGTAGAAACAGACAGACGGACAGACGAATAGACGGTCATGGTCATATCAGCTCAGGAGGTGATCCTGATCAAGAATATATATAGGGTCGGATCCTTCACTGCGTTGCACTCTTACGACCAAAATTATAATACCCTCTGCAAGGGTATAATAAATAAACATTACACTAAACATTAATATAACATTATTTAAACATTAACATTAAGACGCTGTGCTGCTTCCTGACCCGACAGTAACAGGTCACCAATCCAGCTCGGCAAGAATGGTGGCACCAATCCTGGCGCTAACGGGTTCCATTCACGGATGACTGAATGGTTTAATGGGCAGGTGGGAGGCGGTTTCCCCTACGAGCGTATTTTTCTAAATGACTCCTAGTGACTCCCCAATATTTAATATGTGTTTCAAGCTGGAGTTATAGCTATCATGGGAGCACTTAGAGCCCCAGCGCTGGCTGGCATCCAAGAAACTATTTGTATTTTATCAGATAGTCAAACGACACTTGGGGTTCTTGACGAATATTCATCCCATTCAAGAAATGTGAATGACTGTGGGAGATCTCTCAACTAGATGGCGGAGCAGCATGGTCCCTATACCACGATGGAAATTGCGCCGCCGAAAAATTAGCAAGGGGAGAAAGAGAGAACTCCGGAGAAAGAACAAATAGGCATTCCCTTAGCAACGCGTAGGCTCAAATGTAGGGATGACTTCGACCGGGAAAATAATATAATTTAACTACAGAGGATTAGAGAGAGGAGTATCCTCCTTAGACAGCTTTTTGGATGCCGTCGTCAATAGAAATTTAGACAAAAAAAAAAAAAACAAAATTTTACGAATTTTCGTTTTTATTTTCTCTTTCATTATGAATTTTTAATCTTAACTAGTTTTGAAAAAATTTTTATGTGAAGTATGAACACAAAATCAATTATCGGACTAAATGAAGACAAGCGTATATAATAACGCAATAATGTCATCTAAATTCTTCCCTATATATGTAAATATATAATTATTTATTTATTTCACATATGTGGAGCACAATATGCTATACTTTTCGTTTGTTGTTATTCATTTATTACAATAATTTTCTTTTTTGAGTTGCTTATATTAAATATACAAAGTTTATAACGTTTCACCTAAATACGTTTTTTATACAATTATATATGTATACTGTTCTATTCGTATATACATAAAAATTTTTGCGAACTCGAAGACATACTTCACAATATTTTTAAAATGTATTTATAAAACAAAAATCTCAAAATATCTTATAACCAAAAAAAGTAAAATAAAAACAAAACAAGAAAGAACATAAAACTTTTAGTCGAGTTCTTTAAATTTCACCTTTACCATATTCAAAATACCTAACATGATTGTAAATATACATATTGTAAATGAATACTTAATATATCCGCGGATACTTTATCGTAGAGTACCATTTTACAATCGCCTTTGCAAATTTAACATTGCAAAATCATTTGTAATGCTTTTAAAAACTAATTTTCTATTCGCTTTTTTTATAAGCGTGTTTATTAATTCAGTATTAATTTCAGTCAAAATACCCACGGTACTATTTCTTGCACAATGAGAAATTAAACGTTACATTTATCTTTTTTTTTTTCTTATAGCCCTATTAAGGCTTATAAGGATATTAAAAGGGAATGTCCGAGTTTGTTTCAGATATTAAAGTTCTCATTCATTATTTCAGCGGATTAAGCGGATGGATTAAGATAAACTTTCTGATTCCCACAAACACCAAAAAGTGACTTTAAAAATCAAAAGGAAAAAATATCGAGCGGATAAGTGGCTAGTGGCTAGGCACTTTACGGCGTATAACTAGCTATCTTGCTAGTTCTGTATATACCTGGCCCGTGGTACTTTATTAAAACTTTTTTCAATATCTTTAGCCGTTTTCCTTTATGATTTAGTTATAACTAGATCCCTACATCTAGCTTTCAATTTTAAATATGCTTTATTTATTATTTTTTTGTTTATTAAATCTATTTCACCTTTCTCCTTCTATCTGATCTATTATCCTAAATTTTCAAGTTGGAATAACTCGATCGATTGCAAATATACGTTTAAATCAGTATTATTAAACCCATTATGTGATTTAAGCCTGGTCAGTAGAACACCCACTACATCAAATACCAACTTGAATTAGAAAATGTTGCCCGATATTTGCGTTATTAATACACAAACATTGGGTATGATAAAACAAAACACCTGACAGTTTAAAGGTTATATATGTTTGTGGCAGTTGAGGAAACTGTAAAATAATTAATATAGGGAGTGCATATAATATTATGTGACCGATACAATTGTGGTGTAATTAATGCTTTACCAGCTATGTAGTGCACTCCAAGCACAGTAGCCATACTTAATGCTAACGGTGAATTTATCCAATTCGCGAACATACAGCAAAATGAAGGTAAAGTTATCGATAGCCAGGAAAATGTCCGAATACATGTACTGTAGATGCAGCAATTTGGAGATGAAGATCCACTGTTATACGTCAATTCTTCATTCTTAACGACCTCGTTGGGATGCTTCTCATAATGATGATCATCTGTAATTAAAAATATTGTAAGTTTAATACTAAAAAAAAATGTTGGGCACATTAATACTAAAGGGGAAGTTTGTGTGATTAAAACCAAATATTTTTAGTCTTGGCACATATCCTTCTTTCCTAAATGCCATACCTTTAATGATCCCTAGGCTAAGAGGTTGGGACTTTCCAAACCAAAACACAGAATATTAAATATTTTTTTGTGTATTCTTATAAATGAACGCCCAAAACGTTCATAATTTCATGGAACGATTATAATAGGAAGGTTAATATCAGACCAATTTTGGATAATGTGAAATTCGAAAAAAAAATCTCATGTTTGCATTTACATTAAACGTGTAACATTTCCGACCATTCTGGCAAATCACAATTTATACAGTATTTAATAATACCTGGTCGAAATAAATATTGGGACATTTTATTTTTATACCCTTACAGAGGGTGTTATAATTTTGGTCAAAAGTGTGCAACGCAGTGAAGGAGACATCTCCGACCCTATAAAGTATATATATTCTTGATCAGGATCACCTCCTGAGTTAATATGAGCATGTCCGTCTGTCCGTCTGTCTGTCTGTTTCTACGCGAACTAGTCTCTCAGTTTTAAAGCTATCGTCTTGAAACTTTGCACACACCCTTCTTTCCTTTGCACGCAGTATATAAGTCGGAACGGCCCGGATCAGCCGACTGAGCCGACTATAACTGATTGATCGGAAATGGTATAACTCTAGTGTTTTTAAAGTTAGAGAGTTCAAATTTTAGGTGAGAGCTATTTTTGGCAAAATAATACGACATGCCAAATTTCGTAAGGATCGGCCGACTATATCCTATAGCTGCCATATAACTGAACGATCGGAAATGACCCAACTTTGACCCAACTCGTGTTTTTGAAGATAGAAAGCTGGAACTTGGTACAGATTATATATTTGGTCAGTTGATCCGACCTACCAAATTTCATTAGGATCGGCCGACTATATCCTATAGCTGCCATATAACTGAACGATCGGAAATGGTACTTGGTAGAAATATCAACTTTCGTATTTTTGAAGATAGAAGTCTGGACTTTTTTTAGATTTTGTATTGTAAAAAATTGGATTATATATTCCTATTCCCATAAGGATCGGCCAACTATATCCGATGTTTGCGATATATATCCGGTTTTAACTGCAAGGGTATATAAACTTCGGCTCCGCCCGAAGTTAGCTTTCCTTTATTGTTTTTAAATAAAATCTTAAATGATTTTTAATTTTTTTTGTTTTTATTTTATTTGTAAATATAATTTTTCCATCAGGACCATTCAAGTTGAAAGGAAAAAGGCCCTAGAGATATCCGCCGTGAACGCAAGTCCTGCTATACTCGCAATATCGGAGGTGGGTCACTGATGGTATGGGCCGCATTTGGACACGCCGTAATGAATGAATGAACACGAACACGAATGAATTCTCAGATGTACATAAGACTAATGGACGACGTTTTGATACCGTTTCGCGAAACTTATTTTGAGAAAAAGTTAATTTTTCAACAGGATAACGCCGCCATCCACGTATCCAAAGTGTCAAAGCAGTTTTTTGAGGATAAAAATTATTCTTTTGGGGTGGCCAGCTTGTAGTCCCGACCTAAACCCGATTTAGAATGTGTGGGGTATACACTCAAATAGAGTATACAGCAATGGACGACAGTTTGAAAATTTGGCACAGCTCACAAAGGGTTTTGTTGAAGAATAGGCCAAAATCGACTATAAACATTGCAGGATTTGGCTAATTTAATGTCTAAACACTTGGCTGAAGTAATTTCAAAGCACGGAGGCAATACCCACTATTAGGAAAGAAAATACATTTTTTTTCTACAATTATAAATTTTTTTAAAATTATTTTCTTTACAGTGTCCCAATAATTATTTCTAAGGGAGCTAACATAACAATATCAATTTTCGTGGAAAGGATCAGTAAAATAAAAAAATTGTATCTGTTTTCAATGCAATTCTTCTCTATATTTACAAATAAAATAAAAATTAAAAATCATTTACGATTTTATTTTAAAAAAAAATAAAGTGTCCCAATATTTATTTCGACTAGGTATAAATATCTAAAATATAACTTGGGCTCAGTTTGTAGCCCAGCTGTAAACATCCCTATCAATGCGGGATCTACGTCATACTACATTTTACTCGGGTGCCGTGCGTGCCGTGTAGTTGAACCAAGTTTAAAAAGTTGAACCAAACGTAAAAATTAACTAGAATTTAATTTTATATTTTATATTAATACTATAAAAAAAATATGGCGGCTTTTGTCTTGCCGTCGAGTTCTCACGAACTCTTAGAACGTAAGCAGCATTTTCCCCCCTCGCAAGCTTAAGTCAGATATAAACAAATTCCCCCTGATCGCCAACTGCAAAAACAATGAAATAATAAACATCCGAATCGATCACGCCACCGAGGCTTCCCCCTTTGGACATTTCGGTCGCTATCCAAACTTCTTTGCTGATCGAAGCAATCCCAATTAGGGAACCAAGATAAAAAATTACTTCGGATTCATCTTCGTAAAGATTCTAAGTCAAAAGCATGGAAAAGCTTGAGAAAATCGGACTTGGGAGGAAGATAGAACTGTTGTGCTTATAACTCCGTCCTTTAATAAAGTTTTTTTTTCAAAAGCTTCTGCTGAATGAGCAAGAGGATAACAAGAACTATATCTTATCGCACAACTGTCTCGACCCAGCGCCCAAGTTTCATTCATAATCATAATCATAATTTTCAGTCATTGTAGTTGGTGTTAATATTTGATTTATTGAAAAAAAAACAAACATTTCAGTAGTAAGTACTCCCTCCTTTGTTAGTAATAACTTCATATATCCAGTACAGGGATATAATAATACATGGAATCTATGTTTTTCAACGAAATCTTGCTCCAAGCACGTTTAATAGCTGAAGTTAATGTTTCCTTATTTTCGTATAGCTTTCCTTCTTCATATACCTTCCGCGTTAGTTAGCCCCAAACATTTTTAATCACGTTAAGATCTAGAGAATATGGTGTATCTAGGAAATCAGACTCCAACAATGTTTTAAAGAGATCGCTGTTCATCTTCTGATCGATACAAATCAAGTCAATTGTTTCATAAAACGTAATGGCACCCCACTGTGCTGGCGACTTGAATATATCTCATCTTTTCGGAAATCGTGATAATAATATTGAAAGCCATTGGGCCCATATAAATTAAAACGTCTTTCATCAGTAAAAACAACGTAATGAATTCTTTCGCGAATTGAAGCCGTTTTTCTTTGCATGTTGCATTCAGAGAAGATTTTTTCTTGATTTTTAGACGCTTTAGGTGGTCTGCATTTCTGATTATACGCTGAACAGTTGAAATGCTTGATTTTACTCCGGCAAATTCCTTAATCTTAGCTGCGGACTTAGCCGAATTTGATGCAATTCTACCATTTTGCGTACTGCTTTTTCAGATAGTGATCTTTTTTTTTTCTTTCAAGTTTTTTCCATATTTATCTGGATCTTTTAAATATCTTTTAACAGTCTTGGATTTATCTGCGATTTATCTTTTTGGCAACGTTTCGATTGAACAGTCCTTGCGAGTGAAAAAAATCTACATTTTGACGTTTTAATAAGCTAATAACACCAGCTTTTCCCATTTTCCCTTTAAATATTACTCTTAAACAATGTATTTGTTTCTTTTTAATATTTTATCAATACAAAAAACTGCACTGGTTTACGCAAGACCAAGGAATCTAAAGTGCGTCTATTTCAATGACCAACCGCAAATACGCGGGATTGCCAAATAATTTTCTGAAATCTTCGAATGTACAGATATTTTTTCGCAAATCAACCAACTGTGAGCACATATTTTTTGAACAAGATTCAAACTCTGATAAGAAAAGCTTTTTGGACAATTAGAATAAGCATTATTATAAATACACAAAGCATATTATTTAAAAAAAAAAAAGCCTCTAAGCTATGAACAGCAATAGTTTATATATCTATTTATTATATCCAGAATTATTAAAATGTTATTGACTGAAGCATTTAGAAAAAAATAATGCTAACTGTCAAAAAATAAGAAAAATGAAAAAAATTTCTGCTGAGGCGCATATGACTCGAACATAAAACACAAAATTTTAGAGCCAGCATTTTTACACTTAGACCACAATTCGTTTTGTTTGTAATGCGATAAATACGATTCCTATTGTCCTCCTGTCCAACGCACTACCACTTTGGATGTTAGTGACGAATTTTTCAATTGGGTAATATTTTAACTTATGCTAGATATCATAGTAACAGGAGAAAGAAATGGAGTTAAGGATAGTGAACGATATGTTTGATAATTTTCTCTGGCGTCTTTTGCAATGTTTCATTATACCCTTGCAGAGGGTATTATAATTTTGGTCAAAAGTGTTCAACGCAGTGAAGGAGACCCTATAAAGTATATATATTCTTGATCAGGATCACCTCCTGAGTTGATATGAGCATGTCCGTCTGTCCGTCTGTCTGTCTGTTCTACGCGAACTAGTCTCTCAGTTTTAAAGCTATCGTCTTGAAACTTTGCACACACTTTTCTTTCCTTTGCACGCAGTATATAAGTCGGAACGGCCCGGATCGGCCGACTATATCCTATAGCTGCCATATAACTGATTGATCGGAAATGGTATAACTTTGGTGTTTTTAGAGTTAGAGAGTTCAAATATGACACAAGAGCTATTTTTGGGAAAATATTGGTCGACTATATACTATAGCTGCCATATAACTGAACGATCGAAAATGACCCAACTTTCGTGTTTTTGAAGATAGAACTTAGTACAGATTCTATTTTTGATCAATTGATCCAACCTACCAAATTTCATTAGGATCGGCCGACTATATCCTATAGCTGCCATATATCTGAACGATCGGAAATGGTTTTTGGTAGAAATACCAACTTTGGTATTGTTAAAGATAGAAGTTTGGGACTTCAACAAAATGTTGTAAATTTTGTATTATAATAAATTGGGTTATATTATCA